ATGGGTTTCAGTTGAGGTTAGTCTTTTTGGCCATTCAGTGAATTTTTCAAAACTTTCACTTTTCCATCTGATTTTTGGTCAAAAAGATTGATCAGATTACCTAAAAAAATGACTCTCCTGCAACTCAAAGAATGTCACAATGGAGAAATTCTAATAAATGAGTAGTTAATTCCAGGACATCCATTCCCATGTGGATGTCTTTGATTTTGAGGTACTGAAATTTTGTGTGTGTCTCATGATTATCCTGTATAAGATCAGTGAGTTTTATCTTAGCCATAAATGGCCTGTCTGGATTCCACTCTGTTATGTGTGAATTTTCTTCTTGATGTACCAAACCAAGTTTGACTTACTTGTATTTCCTAACAGAGGGGCAGATGATTCAACAGTATGTCTCTGTGTTGATATTGGGTTTCTGAGCTACTTTATAATCTTGAGTTAAATCCTGTCCATTTTATGCTATGCCTTCCTAGTGGAAACATCTTTTTTTTTCCCAAGTCTCTTTGGGAAAGTAGAGCCCCTTTTGTGTATCCTAATCGAAGGTATTACCTATTGTTTTCTGATGCATTGTCAGAGTGTTTGCTCCATCTTAACTCATGTTATTAGTTATTGCTTCTCAGTCTAGGCCTTGGGAAAACTGAGGGCAAGAATTGGTTATCCAAAGCAAATTGCAATTAAAAACTATGATATCTATCTAAATGTAAAAAAAGGTCACTTTTGTGACTTTGGATTTGATTAAGGATTGTAGACCCATATTCCTGACAGAACTTCAATGGGGCTTATAATTGGACTTTCCTAGTTCCCACCAATCCCAAATTCTGCAAGATAGAAACACTTTAGGTAACAAGGCCAATTCAGTATGTGATTTTCTATACAGTTCACATATCTGTAATACATGGAATTTACACTGAACTTTTGTTTCATTTTGTTTTAAATGATATGCTCTCTCTGGGTGCAGTGATATAACAGTGTCATTGGGGGTTCCCTCTACTTTAATCCTAGTTTGTTGTAGCATCAGAATTTAACAGTATTTTATAATCCCTTTGACATAACTATTTAAAAATATATTGATTTTTATATTTATACTTTTGTAATGTAGTATTTGAAAACTATCCCTAAACAATAAATTAGGGACCATGTTCAGAGAGTGGAGATAGTAACACACCTGAATGAATTAGTTTTTTTTTTTTTAACATATACTTTAGCTTTGCATTGTTTTGCAATTTCTACAGCATCTTTCCAAATGATGCTGATTTTTGTATTTGTGTGTATTTGGCATAACAGTACTTTGTAACTTATTAGTATCCCAAGTCCCCAAGTTTGGCCTTTTGTCTTCACTAAAATACTAGGCAACCATATGTTATACAATTCCTTTATAAGTGCAGGAGAGTTAATTTCCCAGAACAAGTCATCTGTTGTAGGGAATACATTACTTTTTTTCTACTCCAGTTATGCTACATAACAGTACCTTTTACATTCCAGCTTAATGTAATCTTCCTTGGGATTGCTTTATATAAAATGTTTCACCACACTGCCATTCTGAAACCTGAATCGGGCTGTCTTGATAATATCAAGTAAGTGATTTTTCTTTTCCTTCTCTTTAGTCTGCCTCTGATACACTGAACTGTCCCTACTTTTAATTATATTGAAATCTTAGGACAAAATGATAAAGATCAATGTGTTGTCTTTGCTGAATAAGATCATTTATTGACACCTAAAGTGACTTGATCTGCTTGAAAATAAATATAATGAAGCTCTGTTTTCAAAGAAACTTTTTCCCCTTTAATTCTTATTTACAACATGATACTTTTTAAATTATTATTACATACACTTATTTATTTTGTCCTGGAAGCACATACGGAGTTTCTATATGTGGGCAGACTATTATTTCCTAGAGCAATGACCACATTCCTACTCAACACTCCATCTCCCCTTTCAGAGCAATGTGAAGAGAGCGAGACTGGGGCACCTGCAAGTACCAAAGAGGGATTTTACACCACAAAAGGGGAACCCCCAAATTATTGATCTGGGAGTTTGTAGAGGAGCTGTTACACAGCTGCCCTTCCCTCCTCCTGAGAGAGAAAGAGACAGCTGCTTAATGTAAAAACCCTATGATATAGAAACATGTGGTTCCAGGTTTTACCCCTTTGAAATCTTAACATTTACCTCTTAGAAGGTAAGCCCTTCAAAAGTTTCTAATTGTCTATTCAGTCATCTTTTAACTTCAAGGTTTGTCCTTTAACCCAAATTCCACTTCTCTATGGTCAAAAAGCCAAGCCATGCAAAGATACAAAAATATATACATTTCTTTCCACACTAGTAATATTTCCTTTATACAAAAAGAAGCCAATTTATATTTTCTGAAAAGAAAAATTGTTCCTCAGTATAACCAAAAATTTGTCTTATTCCTTTAGAGGCTGTGACATTTGAGAAAAAATAATGTGGATATATTCTTTAGTGATAAATATATATTCTATATTAAGTAGCATTTGTATGTAATTTGCCTATGCTATGTGTTAATTTGGTTAAACGTTTTTAAATGAATTACTTTTAGAAGTCTTATGAGGTCTCCTGTGACTTTCATGTGCTACTGACATTCTCCTTGAACTACCTCAGCTAGCAGCTACCTCACCCATTTTTCATCTTCCTACATTCAATGCCTGATGCAGCCTTGCCCATAGTAGGCCCTCAATGAATGTTTACAGAGTAAAGTAGTGACAAAAGTGTATTGCATTAAACGGTTAATTTTTGGTAAAGAATCATCTGTCTACATTAATTGAAAAGGTAGCTAAGGAATTAGAAAAGATAATAATACAATGGCGCAAACTAGGAATTCTCTACTGTGAGTAACAGTCTTTTGTAATTCTTAATATTACTTGGCTGAGATAACAGTCATTACATTGTTGAATTATGTGCAACCTGACTGTCCTACAATGTAGTATTAGTTCCTTGGACTATTTGTTCCTAATGAAGTTGAATTTGGATAAATTAAATAGGCACATAAGGTATAATTTCTTTTATCTTACCGTACTTTTACTCACTTTAGTATAAATTACCTCTTTGTACCTATTATTATGTACTATAAAACAAAATGCAAATAAAGTTTATCATCATTTTTCTTATGTTTTTAAAGTGCAATCAGAAATAAGTGAATAATACTTTGATATTTATGTAACAGCTTTTACTAGATTAAAAATTAAAAAGGTCTTTTACATAGTACAGTCGCATATTTTAAAAGATAGAATTGTCTCCTTGTTATTCATATGTATTTCTTTAGGTAATACGAGTTAAATGGATGTGATATTCCTATTTAGAAAAACAAACACGCAAAAGTCAGTAATTACATTTAGTGATATTGATGGCACCAAGGTTTATAATACAAAGTGCCTCAAGGTTTATGTTACAAAGTAAAATAAACCCTTCAATGAAACTATCTTGATTTGAATTCTGTCTAAACTGCTTTATCATTTACAGCCTTTGGAAAGTTTACTTAACCTTGCTGAGCCTCCCTGTCCTCTTTAAAATGGGTTTAATAATGAAACATACCCTACCATCAAAAGAGCAGAGGAATGCAAACAGCCTTTGATGATACCTTTTAAGGAAAAATCAGTGCGGTGCAAGGACAGAAATTAGTTGTTAAAGAATGTAGAGGGTGGTTTTAAGATGGAAGAAATGTGAATATGGATATGCTGATAGGTAGGAAGCAATAAAAGAATGGTGAGAAAGAGAGGAAAGGGCATCATGTTATAGTCATGACCTGAAGATCCAGCATAGATGTAGAGCAATTCCAGTCCCTTAGACTTCATGAAGGACACTTTTCTATTGAGGTAACAGAGGCCAGGGAGGAAGATCCTTTTCCACTCAGACTGGATGAAATACATAACAGGTTTGAGGTGGCTATTTGGTGCAACCAGGGTAGAGCAGTAAATTGAGAGATTTCTGCCTACTTGCCTCTACAGTGTAGGAAAGATGATCACCTGCAGGATACGGGGGCACGTAGAAGAGAGACTATAAGAAAGAAGTCTCGAGAAAATATTCCTTACAACTTTCCAGAATCTGAAGGACACTTTATTTTATTTAAATATGTTGACTGTTTAATAAGTGCTTGTGAAAAATTCACCAGGTCATAATTGATAAGGAAAGAAGACTTTAAGAAAGGTTTCAGCGAAACACAAAATCTGGCATCGTTTTTGTGTTTAACAAAAATAAAGATCTGTACAATATGTATTTTTAAGTGCTATGGGTGATGTGAGAGTATTTATTTCAAAGGCATAAGCATCCTGTATTTGGAAAGTTTTTGTTTGTTTCTTTGTTTTTTAGTACAGGGGAGAAGGCATGAATATTAATAGTGTTTTCTTGGTTTTTGTTTTTTTGTATTTTTATAAAGTGATGAATAAGATGGGCCACCTTGCTCTGTTTATTGAGAAAATAACCTCACCATATAAGACCTTTTGGAAGTCAGAGTCTTTCTAAAACATTGTATTCATTTATCAAATATTTATTACTTTTATCATACATGTTCTTTCACCTATAAATACCTCCTTTATCTAAAATGTGTTTGCTTCTCCCCATATTCGCTGCCATCACTTCCTTTCAAGCCACCATGAACCTCTGCAGAGCTGCTACAGTTGTCTCCTGACTCTCTCCCCTATACTGGTTCTTGCTCCTGCCTTCATCAGCTAGAGTGGTGTGCTGAGAAGTTCAGATCTAATCATGCAAGTCTCTTGGGTAAAACTGCAGTGGTTTCGTGTTACTCTTACACCGAAGTCCCGGCCCTCTAACACGGCTACCAAGCCTTCCTGATCTAGCTGGACCTTTTTCCTTTAAGCCTCTTTTTAGGCCGTGTGCTCCTTTGGCCGTTCTAGACGGCACTCTTGTGCATCAGGTCTTGCCTACAGTTTCTCTGCAGACTTTCTTTTCCCTAACACTATGGCTGGCTGACTCCAGTTTACTCTAATGAATTTAATTATTATTTTTTAAATAATTTAATTATATTTTAATCCAAAGTTTACTTCATAGTCATCATAATAAGCATATTTTGATGTTAGTATAGAACATTCATCTGGTTGGCTCATTATTATATTAATGATATACTCTGGGAAAAATAATAGAGTAAATTACTGTACTTAACATGATTACAGAGGAAATGAGGCACTCTCTAAGTCTCAGATTTAACTAAAAAAGTAATTAAAATTTTTCTATTTGCTGTTTCCTCGCATGTCCTTTGTCTTCTTTTCATCAAAATAGGTAACTATATTTGGAGGAAAAAAATAATTCCAGTTATTTGAATTTTCTGATTAAGTTTCAGACAAGTTGAAATTGGAGTTTATAGTAATCATAGCAAAAATCTAACCTAATTCTAAAAATACATATATAAATATAAATAAAACAATTATTGAATTGTTATGTGCGTAAATTAACATATAGTATTGCTGAAGTATTATGACCTGTAAAACTAATTCTTGAGCAGCATTTAGATCACTCTTGACATTTACCTTCAAAATAAAGATTGATCATTTCTGTAGTTATCAACTACTTCTTCTATTATTGAAAAGATATTTAACATCATCACAAGTACTTTGAAGAATAAAAAGAAATGACAGAAGCTTTTAGGTCTAAGAAAGAAAGTTGGTGCCCATATGGAGAGACAAGGAATCTACTAGGCTTCCTTTTCCATAGTGCTATAGGGGAACAGCAACTCGTGTTTTACACAGTTTTGATTTGAATTTCAGTTCTGTCCTGTAATGGTTATATGACCTTGCAAGTAACATCATGGCCTCCATCTCGGTATCCTTTCTGAATTGGGGATAATTGATTCTACTTTGTAGAGTTTTACGATAATCAAATATAATCATGTGTAAAGCATACAACACATAGTTTAGTGCCCATTCAGAATGTTTGGATTATTTTTAACCACTCTTTGTGGAAATATCCTGCTGCCTTCGGTTTTTGTGCTTTCCTTAGTGAAATTTGCTCAACCTTTTAACAAAATCCTATTTGTTTTTGGCTTTGTTTACCGTATGGTGTCATAAAGAACTTGCTTGATATGATCCTTTTTATTTTTTAAGCCAAACTTACTCTGTTATGAGAGAATTGGCTCCAGGAGTGAAATGCTCATTTGATTAATAAATACCAAGTTTTGCAGTTAGTTCTAAAGGAAAATAAAAGAAGTGTCTCAGTGAACTTGGACACCTGCCATCTATAAAGAATCTAAGAAGGCTTCTGAATAGCTTCAGGGATGAATAGAAAAATGTTTTGCCTTACCAGCATCCATAATAACTTATTCTGTTTCTGAAGAAGGTAACTTTGATTTGGACTGCATTTCTAGACACTGGTAGAAACAGTTAAGGCAGAATTTCATTTAGCTTGACTAATATTACATTAGTACTTCATGGAGTGAAGGGGGTAGGGTTCTAAAAACTTGAAGGCAGAAAAGCAGAATGATACAATCTTGAAAAATGCAATGACAGCATAAAAATATTTCAGTGCCTTAATTTTTCTTCTTTATAATAAGATGGAATAACATATGTGTACATATATATGGCCTACTTTTCAAAAATGTTACTATTTTTAT